CACAACGGGGGCAACCGTAATAAAAACGGCCAGCAACAACGTGGCCGGGGTCGAATGTAAAAATAAAAGCATGCATAGACGTATCTCAAGGCTCCAGTGGACCGTATATTATCCCTTTCAGAAGCGTAGAATCGTATGCTCGATTCCCCCGGTTTGTCTTCGTCATATTGCCCGGTGAATGTGTTTGTTGCGTTGATACGTCTCTCAAAGGCCATAAATATAATGGCAACCCGACGCTTCGCCCTTCTCTCTCTCTCTCTCTCCGATCGCTCCTTTCGCCTCGGTCTTTCGACGTTCAGCAAATCTACAAACTACCTGCAAATTCTGACGTATTTTATTACAACAGAACTCGCTTTCCGTTCATATTGATTTAAATTATTTTCGTCGCCGCAATCCGTCAACAGACTAAATTAAATACAAAAATTGTCGCTGTCTCTCTCTCTATATATATATATATATGTCTCTTTCTCCCGCGATATCTCCTGTTCGTTCTCTCGGAAACTGTCGTGAATTTATCATGCCGGAATTTTTGTGAGAAATCGGCGGGTGCGATTGAATCACCGGGGAATTTTCATGTGCCATATGGCCGATGTATTAGTTATTGCGCAACTTTTCCTCGGCCCTGCCGTGAGGAGAATACCCTTCCAAGTTTGGCAGCGTCTCTCTAAGCTACCGTGTATATGAGGGAATTACGCGAGAGGTCTGTTTTTTTATTGATAGCGCGACGATCAAACATGGACGTGCGCGAGCGAGGTAATGGAAAGGGTGGGTGGACGTTTGAGGGGGGAGGCCCGTCGAGAATTTCCAAATGCAGCGGCATACCGACGGGAAATCCGCCGTATTTATAACGGCCGCACGTGCTCCTCTCTCTCGCTCCCTCTCCCCCTCTCATTCTCTCCTTCGACTAGCGGCGATGAATAACTGATGCCATATCCAATCAGTAAATGGAATCCGCGACCGTGGCCGGGAGGAACTCCGTTTCGCTAACAAGAATTTAAGAAGCGAATTTCGGGGCAAATCTCGCACCGAACGTTCCGCCGTATGTACGCGGATAATCGCAAGATCGTACGCGAGATATCGGTGCGATATCGATCGCACAGCGACGATGATTGATCGCCCATCTCGATTGGAGGTTCGGTTAATCGATCCATTTTCCGGAGTCGCGACATCGCCTTGTCTTCGGCCGAGATTCGGTCGTAAAAGTGACGCTTTGTCCGTCGCACCTCAAGCTAATTAAGATTTCGTTTGCTATTTTTATTGAATATGTCTCCGTCCGCGCGAGGATATAATTGCGAAACTTGCGCGCGTAGCTGACTGCACAGTTGACTTGTTAGTCGACGAATTAGGTCTTTAATATTTAACGTAAACTCCGGCGCGTTCATTTAATATGAATAACGTCCACACGGGTTTGCTAGCGCAGGGACAAATATCTCCCTATAGTTAACATTAATGTACCAAGTGCACATATCATATAGAGGTTTTCTAGTATTTTAAATCGACATTCGTGCGGAGAAACTTGTAAATATCAATTTTGTTTTAAATCAGTTTCAAGAAAAAGATTATCAGACACATTTCACCGCGTAAAATTAGTCATTACGATTTGCGAATCGCTACTTCAGTGAAATAACGTCTTATTGAACTCCAATTTTCAGAGTTCAGAATTTATTTCTATTGGCGTATCGATAGAGGAAAGTCCCCTATCGGACAGGCTCCCAATATGAGATAGCGGAGTTTCTGCTAAATTAATAGGCATCGTCCGTTGATCCCACAATGAATTATTGCCTTTGGAGTGAGATCTGTTTAGTAGAAAATTGATGGTTAGATCGTGTAATCGAGAAAAGATTCGTGATTGAATTTGGACTTTGGTTGAAAACCTACTATCTCACATTAGAATCCTATCTCATAATAGAGGGCTTTCCTCTACTAACAAAATGATGCGTTAATCTGGAATCTTCAAATTATCTAAAATCTGTAAAACTCCGGCAATTCTCTAGCAGTCGTTCGCGACAATCGAGAAAAGTCTCGGTCTAAGGTTGGGGAATCTCGCGTGTTGTATAATAGCCGTTCGGTTACAGCGCGATCTCTCGAAGCAGCAGGGCCGTAGCATCGAGCACCTGCTCTCTCTCTCTCTGTCGGTGCTATTTCCGTACGTGCGTCGATTGAGCCGGCTGGCAAGACGAATCGACGCCAAGAATTCTACGAATGATCGAACACAAACCAACATCCTTGCGAGGAAGCTTTGAACTCGCGTGTTTATGGCCCCGCGATCGGTCGTTACCGATTCTACGTAAAGTACCCAAGTACGAATGGTCGAGGAGTGACGAGTCACGTTCGACGCTCTCGAAAGGAAGATATCGGTAGGATTGAATGGGTGTCGCTCAAATAAGAATTGCTGTGTTCATTTTTAATCGATGGATTCATTTTAAGGAAAAAAAATATCTCTTCTCTTCCTGAATTTATGAAAACCACAGATATGAATATTATTTTGTAGCAATCGAACTATTATTTGAAATGTTTAGAATATTACTACCGAGAGTCAACGATATCTGTAATTAGGCAGCAGAAATATTTGGAATATAGAAGCTTTCAGAAGCTGAGAATACCTTCGGTTTTTCCCGAGGGATAAACCGCTGAGGGCATTGTGGTGTACAGATTTGCGGCATTACTGGGCATTTTTGGGCATTAGGCCTTGCTAGGGCATCATAAAGATAAAATAAGATAAAGTAATGCCCACCGGTCATTAGTGGACATTGGGTGTACAAGATTTTGGTCGGCGGTTTCTCCCTCGGGTACAATATTGTATTCTTAAATCGTTGGATTTATTGTAAAGTAGGAGTACCATAAAGCGGCGAGATGAGATATTGCGAGAGAAAAATAGAAGATTGATACTTTTAAGTCGTAGATTTATTTGAAACGAGTTTTATTTAAGCAGATTAGCTCTGAAAAAAAGTGGGACATCAAGGCGTGATATTCCTCCCTTCTGATCACGGTTCCATAGTCCAATATCCCGAACTTGAGTGCGTTATTACATCGTAAATGATTCTATACGAGGGGTGAACCGCTTAGGGTATTGTAATGTACAGATTTGCGGCATTACCGGGCATTACTAGGCATTGTTTGGGCATCAGGCCTTGCTGGGACATTACAAAGATAAAATAAGATTGAGTAATGCCCACTGGGTATTAGTAGGCATTGGTGTATGTACATGCTTTTGGTCTTGACTTCTCGACTCTGCCTCCTGGAAAGAATATCCTTTATTTGTGAACCGTGGACGTCATTAAATAAACGTCAGTAACCGCGCCTGCTCTCTACCGCGTAGCTCAGGATTGATTCATCGCAGAGGACGAAGGTTAAGGAAGCATCGGCGAAACCCGGGAGAGAACAGGGACGCGTACTGTATCCGGCCGGTCGCTATCGACGTCTGTTATCGACACGAGAAAGCGGTTGACAGAGTTTACCGAGTAACCGACAGCAGACCAGACCGGCAGGATGGCCTCACACGGCCCGTTGTGCTCTCGAACGTGACTCACTCCGATCCGCGAAGGGGCGGAAATCTTGTATTTGTTCGAGAAAGAACGTTTGTCCTTTGTTGGCGCGCTTATCTCTGCCCCGATTGCCCCGAACAATTCGTGGCTCTTCTGACGTAACGCACGATTGAAACAGCTTGGCGCACGACACACGCGTGTCCCGGTGATCGGGTCAAATATATTCTCCACGCCGGCGGATAGACGTACGAAGCGGCTCTGCGAGAAAAACGAACGACTATTTACGAACAGTAAAATTATGGGAGACGTCCTTACTTCTCTTGACGGCGCAAACAGTTGACGCGAACGTTTTGAATCCGATTATAACGTTATCACGTGACGATCTCGATTTATGCGTTTGCGGACGACGGACTACGAGATTGTCATTCTTTCGCGCGTGCATCGTGAAAATAAAAATAACGTAGAACACATTATTTTTTGAACAACTGCTCCCCTTCGACTGCAGTGGTTCCGTTTTTTATAATTTTGTCGAGCATCTCTCGATGAATGGGAGAATAATCAATCGTTTGGATCTTTTTTCAGATACTTCGAGGCATTCCAGGACGGAATTTCATCGTTCGACAGCTATTTCCCACGTTTGAAGGAATGCGTGCCCAAAGTCCCTTATCATTCTCCTGTCCGGTGTAGAGTTTGTTAGACGACTGGACGGAGAACTGATAAGGGCCCGAGGGTCACAGAATCATCGTGGGATTGGATACATCACATACTGTTCGTCCGTCGAATGCCGAAAGTACGGCGGGATCAGGTCTGTGTGATACCGGCGTCTCGTGTCGTCGTGGAAACTCGTTCACTATTGAGAGTTCTGGATTCTTTTTGAATAGTTCTAGAGTTTCTGATACATCAAACAAATAGTTCTGGCCTTTAAAGCGAAAAAATCGATTAGTGCAAATTGTAGAACTCTCGGGCGCTTGAAATCTGACAAGAAGCCGTCGAGAAATCAACAGAGGACAAAGTGAGACGCTGGATGAAGTTGGCGTCTCACTTTGCACTAATCGATTTGTTTGCTTTAAAGGCCAGAACTATTTGTTTAATGTATCAGGAACTCTAGAACTCTCCAAAAAGAAGCCAGAACTCTCAATAGTTAATGAGTTTCCACGACATGAGACGTCAGCTTCATATACACCGGGATCAGTGCAAGCTATTTACCCATCAATTTGATTTATATTACGATAATATAATATTTAATAAATGATGATCAACAACTACCCCATACTCATATTTTATCAGCGATTCAACAAATAGACAAGAGGTATTTTTATAAACAGAATTAAATTTATTTAATTAATAGCGGAATGAAGAAAAGTTAATTAATTTTATCATAATAAAGATCTGTTATATAAGAATTTATGTCCTCGATGAAATAACTAATCCATATTTTTATAGATATCTCCTAAATGAAGAATTTATAAGATGTGTAACTTATATTGATGAGTATTTAAGATACAATGAATAATGTACGATAAAAATCTGTTTATTGTGAACTCGATAAATAATATAAAAATAACCTGGTACTCCCTACGTTACTTCACGTTCCTCCATTAGGAATACCTGCGATGATTTATATTAAATAGTTATTCGCGAAATAATGATGAAAGTATGATAAGAAAATATCGAAGTCATTTATTATGGAAGATAAAATACACGAGACGCGGAACGTATATTCCATTAACATTTGCACGAATATCAAATAACTCGCGCTATATTCGCGATAATGTATCGCGTAGTCGTAGCATCATTCGTTTATTCTCCGATTGCTTTAACCGCTACAACTTGGGACATTTACTTACTAATTACAACGTGCTAACGTTGAAAGGCGATTAATTACGTTCCCGTATTCTTAGATGCCGCGTGCTCCACTTCGTAATTCGGATTTATCTGAATAATCTGCCTAGTTGTACCCTCGCACAATTTCCTCGGTTGATTTTGCACGATCAGTATCTGTTTCGTTCCCTCCGACTTCTCCGGTATAAACTGATTGACGCCCACGATCTTCAACGCCGGTAGAGTTTTTATGATCGTCGCGTTTGGAATCGCGAGATTCGCGGTGCCGCAATCCATCTTCGGAAGTATCACCGGATTTTTCATAACCAACAGGGGCGATTTCTTCGTCGACACGTTCGGGATCTTCGCCGCGTAGGAGGTCGATCGTTTTACGGGGACGCCATTGGCCGATATCGGCATCGTAAGTACCTCAGGATTATCTACCGATATTATCTTAGGTCCGAGAACTACTCCTGCAAAATTCAAAAGGATCGATTGCAATAAGGTTATTGTCTAAACTTGATAATATTTCCTTCCTCTTTGATCATTTTAAACCAATATTATACTTAATCGGTTGACACGAACAAACGTAGCGAGAAAAGTGAGGCGTTTTTAAGATGAAATTAAATTTGCGAAGAAAGTGGACCTATCACAATCGAATGTGAGGAGAATAATCGACTGGGATTGGTCATTTTCTTAAATCTTACGTCTTAAAGACGTCATTGTAGACGCCGCATGCAGAACTAGAATCCACGACGTTAATCGCGCGACCAATAGTCGTTCAAGTTAATAACTCGCCTTTTTTCATCGCCTTTGTGACCGGGCAATCCTTGTGAGCTAGCAGAAGAGTCTTCAACCTCGCGACTTCCATACGTAGAGTTTTCACTTCCATTTGCAAAGCCGTGTTCCCCTCGTTCACGTTAGTTACTGTTCTTTGGAGTTCTTGGATCCACTCTCTTCTTTTAGCTCGCGCACGCATCGAACTGGCACGATTGCGCTCAAGAATGTCCTTTTTCTTAAGCTGATCGACAGTCTTCTTGACATTCTCCTTCTTCGCGGCAGTAGTGTACGTTTTCACATATTCCTCGGTCGCTTTCTGACCTTGTACGGTCATGTTCTTAGACAGGGTTTGTTTCAGCTTCTGCAATGGATTTTTAAGAGGTTCATGTTGAAACGCGAATCGTCAACGTAATCAGACGTTACCATTCTTGCCAATGATAGTCTCGAAATCGCAGATTTCTTCATCTCGCATCGCAGAGCTGGTTCGGTTTTAATAATAAAGGTTTGCTGTTCGGTACTAACATTCGATACGTTAGGAGACTCCGGCACCGCGCACAACTGCATTAATTTACCATCCGCGGTTTTCAGTAACAATTGCACCTCTTCACCGTTGATGGACCTTCATAAAAAAATTTTCTAAATTATGTATGAACGTAATATAGATATTTCATCATGATACCTTCAAATATGTATTTCTAAATTCAGAAAGAAGAAATATCGTGCACAAAATATCCAATAATGAAAGCTTGATTGATCATCATTTATAAAGAATAACTGTCTAAAATTTAAAAATAATCTTATAAATGATGTCGTAGCAGATGTTAAGTAATACAAACAAAAGGAAGTATTTGAACTAAAGAAAAGAGTTAAGACTTATCACAATAAAATACATGTAATTTTGTAACGATAAAAAGAGCATTCTTACAGATGAGACATAGGCTGCGTCGATGAAAGTTTAGGCGCTATGGGTATATTTGCACTTGAAATAATAATATCCTCCGAGAGAGCGTCATCCTTCGCAGATGCGACAGTCGAGTCTTTCAGCAATTCCTGCGTCTCATTTGTACTTAGTTTAATACTGTTACACTCGTCAGTCTTTAAAGCGTTTTCCTCTTCCGCATCTTTCTCGGCGAGAGACACAGTCGTAGAACAAACTTCAACGTGATCCTCGGAAAGAATTTGACTATTTGCGGGCAATACATCCGATATATAGGGGAAGATGTGGGGTGTATGCAGCGTGTCATCAGTCATTCCAACCTGCAAAAAGAGAACTTACGTCGAATGCGAATCTTCGACACCTTTCAGATGAAAATCAATTCTTTTACTTTGCTAAATTATTTGAGACAAACATATGTATGCTATCTTGCCTCTGATACCACAAGCGTGCCAGTATTTCCAGCCTCGACAGCTCTTCGAAACGTCTCTTCGAAAGGATTGACTACGTTTTGCAGGTCTTGAAATAAACCAACCTCCTCGCAGTTTTTGAAGAACCTCGTTGGCGTTGGAGTTTGATCCGCTACAAATTGATTGATCTTTCAGCGCATCTCAGATACGACATACATTAGTCAAATTGTCAAGTGACATTCTTACCAACGAATCCAGCACTCTTAGAGTTATTGTTAAGATTTAGCATCATGTCGTGCTTCTTCTTGTGCATTGTCAACTGATCTTCGTTCATAAAGCTCTGTAAACGAAAACGCAATCCTGTCATCTCTCATCGCAGTTCTTTAAAAGTGTTTTCCAACCAAGTTACACTTCTCTCAATTACAGAGACACTAATAATCATGCACCTACCATATTGCAGCCCGATGTGGAGCAAGCGAAGAGTTTCTCCGAGTCGGTCATTACGTACGTAGTCTCTCGCACGCCGGATTCCAGATTTCTTTCAAAGACGACGGAATGCAGGATGTCTACGCTACAATAATATCAACAGAGTAGACATGACCAGTAACTCCTGTTCGCGGATATCCCAGTCGTCACGGAGTGACGGCCACGCTCTCCCTAACAAATAGATAAAAGTTCTCAGCCCCGAAATACTGCCACTATTTTCACACGCAAATACACCGGATTTAATTAACCGTAGCCTTTAGTACTTTGCATGGAGGCTGTAGCCATGTTGGCAGACTACGCTACACCACCATCATCGTCTGACAACACTCCAACACTCCTCACTAGGTATATTGACCAGAGAGAAACCTGAGAGCGACCAGTCAGGCCGGCGTTTTACTTGATACACAGTTTTCTTCGACTGATTCCAGCGCTTTACGCCCATGATCATGTTTGGAACTATTCGGCTACACCCATTTTCAAGCACTGCCGATAAAGTCTCCACTTGGTGCGTGTCCGTGCTACGCTCATTTTTAAGAGGGTAATGCAGTGCCTAATTTTGGTTGTGTTCCGTCCCGCATGCATGGAATGTCGGTAACACGCAAATCAACGTACGCTGCGAAAGCACCACGCGGCAAACCAACACGGTGTAGAAATAATAAACAAAAAGTAAAAATAAAGTTTGCTTACACGAAAAAGAAAGTTTATTATTTCTACACCACACATTATTTCATACTTGTAGACTTTCAATAATACGCACGGAAAAAAATAATTTTGCTATTGCAGCAAAACTGTTGCTGCTACTTAAATACTGCCATATTTGATAATAACGTGATGACGATACGAAAATTGCTTTATTATACCTTATTAAAATTATTCACCGTTACAGCAGAACGTTTAATAGAACAGAAATTATTTTACTTCTTTAGCTAAATATTTCGCACAATTATTTTTCAATAAGATTAGTGTTTTTAACACATAGTTGTCCATCAAACAGAAAATAACTTTATCATAAAATAAAAGACAAAATTTACTTAAGTTTACATAAGATATACTGTGCTAGCAAATTATTTTTCTCCGCGTGATATCTGTAAGTGAAACAAGTTTTCAACTTGCCTGCAACATCCCTGAGATCTAAGCAGCTGCCCTCTTGTGCCGTTCGGTAAACTAAAATTGCAGTTGATAATCCATTTCTCATGGTAAAAGGCTGGGGCAGGCATTAAGATTCACCCTGTATAGTGGCCATGCATAAGAGACGGCGAGACGTAATTGCGCAAATGACACAGAAATAACACAGTAATGACACAGAGTGGTGTTGAGTGTGCCTTGGCAATGACTTTAAATTCATGCGTGACTTTTCATTAGTTATTATATCATGTTGACATACAGCAAATTATGTAGATGCTTTGTTCGAAAGTAACAAGGAAAGTACATACAAGTACATCTCGTTGTTGATTGAATAGCGATATATCGACATAGGAACGCTGAAAAGCTTCTCGGCTAAGATTTATAATAATGGCATAAATTTAAATAAAATAAAGACACATTAAATATAGATCTTCATTAAGAAAATAATTTATTCCTAATTAAATAAATAATTATCTTTAAAAAAGCTCGAGTCCATAAAATATGTGAAACATTAATAAACGCCTAATTTTTATTACTACAATATATTTACAGTTTTAACAAAGAACACACAAAAGATGGAGCAGTCTAGATATCCTAAAAAGAAATTTTTCTTCTCATCCGCCTGTCCTCTTCGCGAGATTGTTCAAAGATAATTATAATCACTCGCCGCGTAAATGAGTAGTTACAGAAAACTGCGTGCCGACCGAAAGTCCAAGAAGCAATTTTCACGCAGCAGCGACAGACATTTCGTAGTGAAATTTCGCGCGGAAAAAAAATAGATTGTCCCGCGCGATTGTGGCTCTCCGTGAAAGTAAGTTTTGGGATTGCTAAGCTTACGGATAGTGAAGCGAACAACAGCGGTGTAATCTACATATATTACCACAAGTTGCGCCTCGGTAAGAACAGATCCGTGCCAAATGCGCGTAAGAATTGGTAATTACAATTGCAATCACAGTCTACTTGATACACAGTGATTTTTGAGAAATCCAAAATGAAGAACAAAGTGTAAAAGATTGAAACAAAGCTTCTCGTTAATCCAACTGGCAATATAATTAATTAAAGTAATAATTCATTAAAGTGTAAAAGAATGAATTAAATTTAAAATGTTCACGATTCGGAAACGAAACAGTCAAACAATTCCACGTTAAAGAACATTTAACGTTTAATTAAATAATTAATTTGCAATTAAAAAGAATTGATTGATAGAGAGAAAAAGCAGATAAAAACTTGTTGAGCGAAAAAGAGCGAGAAAAGAACATCTGGTTAGAAAGTGATGAGTTCCGTCCAACGCTTTTTATCCGAAAGGAACGGATGTAAAAGACTCCCATTACATCTCGTCGTAATTTCACTGACTAGATAGAAAAGGAACGCTTTGGGCGCCTTGGACCCATCTGGAGAGAGTGAGAACAGGCCAAAGAGAGTGGTCTCGGATGCTGATGTTTCTGTTCCTCATCAGTAGTTAACCGCGTGTCGCGGTGCTCTATTCATTGATCCGTCGATGTGTGAACGTGATCACAAACCGTGATATATGAGTTTCATTGAATTTCTCGAACGAATTAAATCTCGAATTAACGTTACAACTACCTCGCATTAACATAGACACGTTCGTGAGGTGAATTTATCCCGAAAGTGTACGTTTCCGCAACATAATCGGGCCTTCAAGCGCAAGTGTGTAATAGTATAATACAATAATATTATATAACAAAAAGGTAGGAATACAAAAATTTAATATAATTGTAAAGCTTTATTTTATATCACGCGCAGCTAAAACTTCTCCCGCCTGTATTTCATTTCACATTTAATTTCACCTTCAATTTTAAATTCGCTTTAAATCAGAAGCGCGCGACGTACAATATATTACTTGTAGCGATTAACGCCAGTGATTAGTGGTTTAATCGTGACAAACAATAAACGATGATTGAATCGAGGAAAATACTTTCTCGCGTCTCTCCTACGAATGTCACGTCGCGATCCGCGGACAAGATCTCTTACAAGACTCGCCTTCAACCTTGATCTTGATAGAAATCCAGGTGAGGCTGTCGGATCGACTCGCTGCACGTGCTTTCGATTCTTCACAATGTGACGAACGATACCGCCGTAAAAGCTGTCGCAACAATAAATTTCCTCGCTCGTTTATAAAAGTTAATTGAAGCCCTCGGCGACATGTGCGCCCCGCTGTAATTTTTCTCTCTTTAAAACAGTCATTGACCGAGAATTTATAGAATCTCGCGCTCGAATGACTTTGTCAATATATCTTCTGAAAATGTTGTATAGATAAATAAATATCCATTTTATTTGTCTCAATATATAATACGTATCCAAGGTCTAGAAAAAATATCTTAAACAACGGCGAGCTGATTGCGCGGGAGTGTATCAATTAACAGGATAAATTCAAATTAGGCGAATGTGTGCCAGGCGTGCGCGTGATGGCCACTTGTTTATTTTTCACTAGACAAAAGAAGCGCGAAGAAAGTCGAGCAATCAAAAACAATAGCGTGCTCGTATACGGGCTTTAACTCGTAACTTACGGCATGATGGTTGAAAGTGATATTTCACTCTTTCCTTCGTCTTCAATTCTCCTCGTACCATCTAAACGAGACGGCCGTTCGAAGTTCGTTCTAGGGCAAGGCTCTTATTTCACGAAATAGAGCTGCTGCACGGGCATAATTTAGTTCCGCGATACTTACAAGGAAAAGTAGATTTTTCTACGGGGTTCGATGATTTTTATTATCACGAGTAGTACTGAAAAGATAGAAAGTGAGTTGAGGAAAAGTTAAACGGGCTAATTTTTAGTAAAACTTTTAGTAAAGTAAACATATCTCTCATGTCTATCGCTCGCTTATAGATTTATATCGATCTTTCGTATCAAGCGACAGTATCTCGCCGTTGGGACGGTGGATTGAAAAACGACGCTCTTAAACCGTGATCTAATGCTAAGAGGACCCAGCACGTTCTTCGCCCGCACTCACCACGATGAATCGCCGTCGTTGTCAAAGTCGAAAGTTACCGGTTAACTTTCACTAATAACCAAAGGAGGGGGGGGAGGGAGAGGATGGGGAGGGGTACGTTGCCGCGTGGACATGGTTCCGCATGTAGATCGGCTGTAGAACGTTACGAAGCACTAAAAGGCGTGCCACTTGTCTCGGTGGCCTGGTTTCGTGTCCCCCTTTTGTACCGGACTGTACGTGGAACGTCTTTGGACACGCTAACGTGAACCCGCTCGCGATACGCTGCCGAGGAACCGATCGAGGATGTGGACAAAGGCTCCAAGTTCCCCCAAGATCGACAGGGAAACCGGAGCGTGTCCGCGCGACTCGCGATCAACCCTTTGGCGCTCTGCACGATAACGTTCAACTGTGCTCGCGCGATTTGCAATAGAATTAGTTTAATCAACGTGCAGCTTACGGAACCGTATCGATAATTTCGAAATCTAAAAGCGAAAACGTATATTGACTTCGAAGCGTAAAATCCTCTAAACTTGATAAGCAATCGCGAAGTTAGAGAGATTCTGCATCGAAAGATGACAGATAACGAAATTCCGAAAGATCTTACTCCGTGTTAACCCTTTCGCGCGAAACGGCCGTCTGATTCTAAGTTTGAGATAACATTGTACGTAATGGACAGAAATGAGGACAGGATGGTCGGGTTTGACCCATAAACGTGGGATAAAAATTAACCGTCCATTAAATTCCATATAAAAAAATTTGTATGAAACATCAGAAGGCTATCATTTAATATGATAAAACGATGTAATATGCGCTGGAAAAATCGTTAAAATGTTTTTACAAAATTTGTGCGGACAAATCCGCCCTCGAAATACGATCACGTTTTACAAAGCGCATATTTCACAGTTCCAGCAATTAAACCCTTTGCAACGAGGCTCGTATTATCGACCTCTTCGATTAAACATAGCACTTGCAGGTGTAAAAAAAATTTAGCAACTGCAGTTACGACGCGTAAAGAAACTTGAAATAAAACGCGTTGCTTTTTTCATCCGAGGATCTTTTTGTGCTTTAATAGAATTACCGGCAAGACGGTGACGAGCAATCGAAAAGCACGAATGATAAGGTGAAATCATGAGAGACGCGGCAAAATGATGCGGCACCGGATCAGGAACAATTCATGACGACGTCGTGAACATGTTTAGCTAACGACAGTGAATCGCACGATCAACGCTGACGGTCGAAGAAAGAGATGACTATTCTCAAAGCCGTTGCGCTTATCTCGTTACTTCTGATCGCCGATACCTGTTGTCTCGCTAATAATAGAAAGAACAATCGATTTCTGAGGAATTTCGGTAAATAGATAGTAAGATTTTTCGTAACTTTAATAAATAATGTTAAAACCAAAAGATTTAAAAGAGTACTTTTTTTTAGGTCAGCCGGAGAAAGAAGAAAATATCGAAAATGCGATCGACTCGCACGGGCAGATGAGATTCTTCGATGAACTTGGGTGTAAGTAGCATCGTTAATATTACGTTCACATTGTAATATATTAGATGTTGTTACTCCAAACACACGTTGTTCATACATTACAGTATAAATAAACAGGTATTAAAATAAATTTTAAAGATTCTTTTAAGAGGAAAAAATTCGCTCGTACGTCAGAATAATAAATTAATTTCTTTTAAACTTCTTGATAGAATATACATATATGTTCATGGTACACTTCTACTTTCTTACTTAACTAGTAACACGATTTAAATACAACTCCAGTATATATGATTGTCAGGTGTGACGGTAACATCGTCTGCGAAATTAAAATGGCAAATAGTACTAACATTATAATAGAGGAAAGTTCCCTATTACGAGATAGGCTCAATATGAGACAGTGAAATTCTATTAAATTGATAGGCTTCATCTGTTGATTCCACCATAAAGCGTGAGAATAAGATCGGCCTAGATAAGAATAAATAGGTACCAAACGAAAGGTCTCGTCAAGATGATCGCAGATATGTCAGTCTCAGAGTGTACCTATTTAACGTTCCAGAGATATCGGGCTCCAAAAATTCGCAGAACGTAAGCGATGAAGCCGTCTGGACAGACACCAATCATTTCTTCGGAGTGGAATAAAAACTTTAAAGCCCGATATCTCTGGAACGTTAAATAGGTACACTACGAGACTGACATTATCTGCGATCATCTTGACGAGACCTTTCGTTTGGTACCTAACTCCGTGACCAAAATCGAATGCGAAAAAAATGGGGCCATTTGCCTATGGACACTTGTTCTCACTCTTTGTTGTCCCTGGAGCGAAATCTGTTTGGTAGAAAATTCATTGTTAGATCGTGTAATCGTTGCGGAGAAAAATTTGTGATTGAATTTGGGTTTTGAGAACTTGCTATCTCATATTAGAAACCTACCTCATAATAGAGGACTTTCCTCTATCTATTATTTTCCTTTCAAATTAATTTCAGTTGACAAATGAATAGCACGCGATAAGGATAATTGAGCCGTGCGAGTACACTTGCGCGCAACGTGAAATCTTGTCAAAATGATAGGTATCGGAAAGATTTTAAGATGACAAACCGGTTGACGTTCACCGGATACTCTTATTTCTACAACTAAAGCAACATGATCTATTCCAGGCAATGCGAGATTTCTTTATTATTACTACATGTGATAACTATAATCACTTAGAAAAAGACACATTCAGCGTGTTATCCTTCTTGTATGGACATAATGAAACTATTCAAACAAAATATGTCAAATATTTAAGTTATTTGCAGTTAAATATTATAATTAATTGTTTAACACCGCAAGAATATTTTCGCGGAATTAAAAATAGTTAAAGAGCAGAGGACGCTCTTTGAACGAACTTTATTTGATATCACAATCATCTAAACGAGAAGACACTGCGATTATAACAATTTTCTACCACAAATGTAAGCAAAGCACGAAAGATCCACAGCCGAGTTAACAAGGAAGACTAAATCGGAATCGTACTTGAAAGGCCACTTATCGACGCTTACTTTCTACAAGAATATTAATAATGAAGCGCACGGAAGCTCTGTTTTCACTGCGACCTCAGCGAACCTCTTCTCTGTCGTTTATAAGCGTTTTACCGATGATATCTTTCCTCTTATTGAAAATGATACCTACTACTTTCTCGTTGAAGTATTGAATTGTACGAGCTCATGAAGTTTCATTGAATTTAGTTCAATCTCTGATAATAAATATCGTAGAACGGTCTAAGCGAGCTTCTACTTAATTTTTACGATTAAACGCTCGCACACATGAGAAGATATCTGAAATTTAACTATTAACCGCCATTCATTTTTTTAAATGAACAAAACAGGACACTCCATAGAAAGGTCTAGGTTTTATCCACCAGAGTAAAAATACTCTCAGTGAAACCATGCGATGAAATTGGGTCATGAAATCTCAGTCTATCGAATCTATTCGATGCAAATGTCAAATTTTAACGAATAGCCACAGATTTTCCAAAATCATATACGCTCTTATCTTTTATTTGTGACAAAACTCAATATACTATTTATGAAGTTATCATACAATACGTTTTTATTTTTGATAAATCTAAATGCTTACTGAAATATGGAACGGTAAATATTAATAATTTCTTTCCATATTATTATTGTAATAAAACTTTTAAAGAGAAGCTCTCGATAGAGAAATAAAAAAACCTACAAAACAATACCAAGCGATGGAACGAACCAACGGAAATACCATACAGCGATAAGAAGTACAATTTCAAGAATAGTAGCAATAGACTGATATAAAAATATAGTTTAAACAATCCAGCAAAGGATTCGTCAGAGAAATAACTATCCCGGTTTTCCGCCTTCACGAGGCGACTGGCCCGAATCTCGACGAAGTTTTCCAGCTATTCAGAGTACGACAATTTCGCGGCGACATAATAACTCAACGAAGAAAGAAATGGAAAATAAGGCACACAACACGGCGATGTGTTCTGGCGACGGTGAAGGTGGGGAACCAATGTGAGACCAACGGACGACACCGTCGCCGCCGTTGCGGGAAAGCTGATGCCGGTGAAAGCAGTGGACGCCTTCTCAGATCGGAACATCGGTTCAAGACAGTCCACGTGCAGAAGGCGTGTATTGTCACGGCCTCTCATTCCGGTGAAGTGTAGTAAGGCGCCTTTAACCTTTGACACCGTCTCACGATCGTGCACACGCGTCAGCGATCTCCGGGAAGAAGCTGCGTTCACTGTCACCTTCCGTGGAAGAGTTTGTATGATAAATCGAGACTATTGTAAGAGAAACCCAGTGATATCAAAATGGCGGTGCTTACATTGGATTCAAAAATCGTTCGAAATACTGTGCCGCTCGCAGGAGCCTTCAACGAAGTGAGAGATTTGTGAGAGAAATTCGCCCACGAATCACATTACAATGGTCGAGGTGTTAAAGATTTATGATTCGTGATTAATTGACAATCAAATCTTATCGAGTGCGTTCAAAATCTGAATTTTTCTCCAAAATTGAATGTTTATTATTCGTATGAAAACAAGAAGGGCGATTCAACGAAATTAATCGTGTGCCAATTAATTCCTCGAGCGTTTTTGCAAGTGAAATTTCAACTGGTCGAATCTCATAAGAGAAACTTGACTTGCAGCTTCCAACTAAGTCAAGTTTCTCTTGGAATAATTTCGGAGAAACTTGATTTAGTCTTCAGCCGCGAGGTCTCCACCGTTCTTCATCGATCGTCGTTAAATGGAGAAGGTGATGGACCGTTCGTGAGTTATCCCGATCGTAGTGCGTCCTTTTAAACTTTCAAGCGTGCAGTGAGATCGTGACGATGCGCAAGGTATCCTTAAAGTGACAAGCGGAAGTCAAAGTCGATCATGAAGATCGTGCTCGGGATGCTTCTGATCACCGTGGCGAGCGCTTTCGATCACCATGACATCTACTCGTGGAGACGCAGAGAGGATTGCAAGATCACGGCTGCGAGCCGATCGATCGTACCAGTCAAAGTTAAGGAAACTCGTCTGCAGCGAACCGATGTATATCGATCGAGATCGTCGACCCCGCGCGAGGACAATACTCTTCAAAACTCGCCGAGAAGATTCGCGGTGGCCGACGCCTCGGACGAGCATCACGATCTCTGGCAACCCGAAGCTGCCAGGACGAGACAGGATCTGACGCGCGAGAATCGAGCCATCGAAGGCACTCTGAAGAACGCGATAGGCGTACCATCCAAGGTCGAGCAGTATCAGTACTTTTCCAATTTTCCGTACGGCGGTGACGGGTCCACCGACGCCATATTGAAGAGCGCGGATCATCCGACGAGCCCGGTGTTCTCCAAGGATACCCAAGATCATTTCTCGAATACAGAAGAGATGGACTGGAGCGAGCAGGATGAAGAGGAAGAAGAAATGGATCTCCAGGAGTTACTGAACGAAATGAGACGGAAGAGATTAAATGGAGTGCTCGAGGAAATGGTAGACGGACATCGACAGGGCAGGGGGAGGAAGCTGACCAGCCAGCAGCAAGGTGCCTTGCTGGTGGAGACGCTCAGGAAGAAGCGAAACTACACCAATGATCATCGGGGACACGGCTCTAATCTACAGAGCGGCCTTATGGATATGTTGGGCAGAAGTATGTAGGACTGAAAATGGGACGAAAATGAAACTCAGGAAGATTAAAAGTGCTTTTAATCGAATGAGATATATCGATGTCGGGAATAAACTTCGTAAATGAATTTATCAAAACGTATAAAGGTGTGAGCTGCAAATGAAATAAATCCTATAAAATGCTGTTCGTCTGGGTACCGACAACTCTCTTATTTCTCGAATAATTAGAATAAAACGAAACTACGTTAGAGTGATTATTGGTCAAAAGAAAGTCAGCGAATTAATGTTTTCGAAATGCTTACCCTTCGCTAAGTGTTAATCCCTCTTGACCTTCTTACAGCCCTAAATTACCATTGAATTTCTTCTTACGGGGTTGTTAAAGATAGAGTCTATCAGAATTAAGATCATTTCTAAACCCTCGAAATGCTATTGAAAAAGAAATTTAATTAATTCCAACTGATATATTAAAAACAATTGACAATTAATTTAAGAAATAAGATAATTGTTGGAATCCCCTTCCCCCTCATAGAAAAACTCTGTAAATAAGTAAAAATACGGAGAGTGATGGATGACTCAACGTTTTATATCTGATATTTTCGAAAGTCATTGATTTTCCAGCATTGACAAAATACAACATCGATCACAAGTTAATTATTAATCCAATTGTACAAATTAAACATTGACAGAAATTTTTTGATGAATCGTAACGGCTGATATTGATCTTCAGAAAAACGGGCTGAATACTACGCGAAAAAATATATAATACTTGACGTAATTAAAGTTGCAATCGCGTGACAAGAGATAAATAAATACATCGATATCGCAATAGACTTCCACTTTTGGACGTCTTTTTACGTTGGGACAAATTTTTGACTAATGTTTATACGTGAAATCTGTTTCAGTGATACCGCAAACGTGCAAGTACAAAGGTGCAAAGTTCGAGTGCGGCCTCAGCATTAGCTGCGTTCTAGGCGGCGGTCGACCTGTCGACCTCTGTTCCGGAGGTTTAATATGGAGCTGCTGCGTGGACGATGAAGACATACCCGAAAAAGTGCCGCTACCGACCGTGGGTTTGCTGCAGAATGCCAGTAAGTTCTCCCGCACTAAGGCATATACCGACACATGTACTAAGCACATATGCCGAAAAAAGCACTAAATTTACTTTAATTAGAGAATAGGTAAACTTCAACTGCGAATGGTCTGCGAATTCACTATTTAGGAGCGGAGGGAACAATGAGACCGCCGTATGTTTTTCTCACGGAAGAGTTTTTAATTCAACGGCGTGTCTCAATTAACTCGCGGGGTCCTTTTTATCTGCCGTCATGCCGCCGTAAATTTACGACATCCTGAAAGAGGGTCCGTGTCCTCGAATGTCGCTAAACCGAGTTTCTGAACCGAGACTTCGAGGTTGTGTCGCGCTTTCAGCGCGAGGACAACTTCCGTAAACGCCTTAAAAAAATTTCTTTCCGATCGAATTGTCGAATGTTGATCTCCGTGCGCGACGATAACAATAAAATAATACATTCGATACTCTCTGGATGAAGTGAAAAGATTCGTAACTGCATTTAGCGAAGAAGAAGCGCGAAGAGAACTGATCAGCAGCATCAGTAACTGATAATGTTGAATCAGTGACTTGTGGCGTTCTATCAGTGACTGATTACGAGAGTCAGCTACTGGTAATGTTTCTCAGTTAACCAGTTTTAATAATCAATTTCTACATCACTCTGAAAAACTAGTTAGACAATGATTGTTATCATCAGTAACTAAGCGCTGATTAGTAACTAAGTATCGATCTGTATTTAGTTACCGATGATAATAATCACTGTGCAACTAGTTTTTCAGAGTGATGTAGAAACTGACTATTGAAACTGGACATCAACTAAGGAACATTACCAGTAACTGACTCTTGTAATCAGACACTGAGAACGCTACAAGTTACTGATTCGACATCATCAGTTACTGATGTCGCTAATCAGTTCTTTTTCTTAATTAGTAAATTTGTGACAGTCAAAAAAAGCTACGACTGGTGACTAAACTCATGGCTCAACTAGAACTGGAAGTTTTATCAATTACTGATAAATATAAAACAGAATAAATGACCAGTTTTTATGTCAGTAACTGGTAAAATTGTTTCACTATATTGGTTGTGCTGTCATCAGTTACAGTGATCAGTTATCCATCAGTTAGCGATCAGATTTTTACTCAGTTCTGACTGCATTGTTTCTTAAGGGAATACAGATGATACTGTAATTAACGCTAACGTAGGGGAGGTAACGTTATTTTACCAGACTAACGTTAAGGATCAAGATGAGATTAGATCGCGACAAGGTAGAGAACGCTTGGTTTATCGCGAACTGAAAGGAGACACCAGCTGGAAGTAACCTGATTTCTATCCGGCGACATCCGAAATTACACAACCAGCAGCGTCCAGCTAGTGGCGCGCGCGCGCGCACCAACGCTGCGTCAGTACGGCCGGCACTTTCAAATACAGTTATTCACACCTAGTTTGCGCGACGGCATCGCGTTGCACGCCCGCAGAACTTTACGCGAGCGTGCTTTCCCAAGTCGCAAGTCGCTCACCGTAACCGCGTGACCATCAATACAATGGCACTATTAGAAACAGGCGAGGAAATAGTGTCACAGAGCAAAACAGTTACAAGTCACCGTATACATATTTTCTTATCATATTATTTGTATAATATAATGAGAAAGTAAGCACAATTCTCTTAATTTTTCTCATTACGTATATCTCGCGACACACGATTTTGCCTGATTTGGGTAAAAGTGCTTCTTCGTTGCAACGGACAATTACAGAGAAAACGATGCAAGTGACTAAAAATATTATTAGTAATCATTTCTTGTATTGCTTTCTCTCATATATAGATTCATTATATTCTGATAGAATCGTTAATCCTCTAGCTGTGATTAGAATTTAAGACATAAGCTAATACGCGCGCAACTATGATAATTGCCATGTTATCGAACTTGAATTCGGCCGCAAAGCCGCCGCGATGCGAGTGAGTCCGAAGTAGCTAATAGCAACACCGTTACGTTGCCCAGCGTTTTCCATAAATCTCGGGCACCAACAGCCATACGTGGACGACGACGTGCACATTTACAGCAGCGCGGTAAAGCCCGGCAGGCCCTCGCACAGCCACGAGGCCCACCGGCCCACGTACGTGGCTGGCGTCAGCAATCCGACCAGCCTCTACGATCCACCTTACGCGATCTGGAGCCACGATCGGCCGACGAACGATCTCGCGGTCGGCCACGACCGACCGACGTACGCTACTCGTCCGTATCACACGGTTCAGGAATATCCACAGGACGAGTACGACGGCGGCTACCCGCCCGCCGCTTCCGCCGGGCCGATCGAGGAGGACTCGTCCAACGCCATGGACTACTCCAGATACCGTGGTAATCGCATGAGAATGCACGCAGATTGTTGCACCGAGTGTCGCACGATGTGTGTCGAATGCACGAGTCCGAGGACTCGCTGAAACCTTGGTGAGTTCAGATTCCGACGACTGCAGACACGCAAGAATCCCGCCGTGTCTCTGTAGCATGGGAAATTGAGCTCACCCCAAAACTATATACCTTAAAACTTGTATCGCTTCAACACGTCCGGTCGACTCTTCTGCTTTTTATCGCTATCCTTCTTCGCGACGGTCCGAGAGCTTGGGAATCTCTTAAGCGCACTTGATTGTTGGTTTGGATATGCTCGATGTTGACTGCTACTATTGTCGATCGAAAACCCACTGACTTGATCTTAATCTAATCATACTGAATTATGAAAGATGTTTGTGTGCGTCATCTATGCCAACAAATATCAACAGATAATTATTAAACTTCGTACCAGACGTACTCAATTCATTGATGTCAAGAGGAGAAGAGATGTCGTGCTGATTTTAACGAATATAGAATTACAGCTTTGACGAAAATCAATATGAAATATACGAGACGAACTGTGACAAATTTTATAAAATGGATAACATCGAGAGACGACACGAAATACTATATTTATTACTAAATATACCAGAATAATCGAATCGATCTATAGGGGATAAAGGATTGCAAATAACGGAGACAATATCCAAACACGCACAATGTTTCGTTTCGCATGGAAACCGCACAAAAATGAACGCTTTCGTCGCCACATCGCACATTCTCCTGCACAAAGTGTTGTCGGGAAAAAACGATTAAAATTGAAGAAATTGAATTTGGAGAAAAAAATAAGAGACTGCTGAAAAAATGAATGGCGACAAAGAACGAGGGATAAAACGAAAAAGGGCGAAACAAGGAGGACAATGGAAGAGTGAATAAATTCCGTGAAACAATATGGAAACAAAGAAGAAAAAAATTATATTCCTATAACAGTCCTCGGGTCCTCTCGAATATTGAAGTACGAAGTAGGGACATGAGATAGAATATAAAAATTAATCGATCTTGGTCTTTCAATAAAAATAGCGAATTTTTAAATGCGCATCTTTATATTATACATATATGTTATTAGCTTACTTATTAAATTCAAAATGGGAAATTAATAAGACATTGTACCTGTTAACTAACATGTTTAATTATGTAACGTTTAAGGATATCTCATATTCCTATCTTCCTCGAATCGCGTGCTAAGAAAGTTTTGCAACGATTAATTCTGAATGATATATCTCTATAAATAATAAATATATTTCCTAAAGTCGCGCGCGCACTTTCTACGCCTACGTCTATTTTCTGCTTTCTGTCTCTCGCCAAGGCGCGAATAATCTTAAGCAAACAGCTAGGTATCAGTTTAATTGCGATAATTGTAGAAAGTATCAGTTAATAAATTTTCAGCGCGAGCTTCTTTGCATCGCATAGTCTCATTTTCTCCTCTACGACACGCACAAATCTCTTCGGTGTGCCCGTCCCCAAGTATCACCTTCGCATCTATAATCGCGCATTATCACCAACGCGGAATATCGGACATTTTCTCTTTGCAACGCGCACTCGGAGCTCGCAATAGCTAACAGAGATCGTACTTTCAGGCTGTGGCGAGCTCTACACGAGGAGCAACAGGATCGTAGGTGGACACTCGTCCAGTTTCGGCAGTCATCCGTGGCAGGTGAGGTTCACCTCGCGCGATTTTCTCCTCTCCGTCTCTTCGCTCGGCCGCTATAAATTCATCCTCCCGCTCGGCTCTCGCGGAGCGACATACTCTTCCTTTCCTCTGCATTATTCATCGGGAACGAGCCATCAATTTGCTCGATTCGCCTAGCGCGGAGAGCGAGGAGGAAAATAATCTATTAAATCTTCTCTCAACGCCGCGAGCCGTGACGCGGACTCGAATACATATTTCATGTAACGTGGCTGTAAATACGCCTCTAAACGTTTTCTTTGTTGCAGGCCGCTATTATCAAGTCGGGATTCTTGCAGAGCAAGAAGCTGTCTTGCGGCGGCGCCTTGTTGAACAACCGATGGGTGGTCACCGCGGCACACTGCGTCGCGACGTTAGTATTGATTATTATCGTCAACAGTTTAGTAGAACAAAATTGTTGACGTATTGTATTTTTGTATGTCAGGACACCAAATAGCAATTTGAAAGTTCGACTCGGGGAATGGGACGTCCGAGACCAGTCGGAGCGGCTCCTCCATGAAGAATTTAATATCGAGAGAAAAGAGGTTCTCCCTTTGAACATTAATGCTTTATTGATTGAACGGTATCCGAAAACTTCGCGTCGTATCGCGACGAGTATAATATTAAAGAAGAAATTGCAAAATGCACACACGCCTATTGGGCTTTATGTCCAGCGAAGCGTGACAATTTAATAATTGCCCTAAAAATAACAACAGATACACCCACAATACTCCCCTACCGACTTTCGAAATGACGTGGCTTTGGTGAAGCTGTCCCGGATGGTGGCTTTCAAGCAGCACATCGTCCCGGTTTGCCTGCCGGCGAGGAATTTGAAGCTCTCCGGCCGTACCGCAACCGTCGCTGGTTGGGGACGAACCAGGCACGGTCAAACTTCGGCGCCAACCGTTCTTCAAGAAGTCGACGTCGAGGTGAGCTCGACTTGGCTAACGCATATGTCTTTGATGATATAAAACTCTTCTCGGGCAAAGTGTACGCGATCTGTCGTACAAGTTTGTCTAACGATACAATTCTACAAGACGATTTTCGTAATATTTTATGTTAATTTATTCATAAAATTATTTATATTAATAGAAGAATTTATCTGCATGCTGTAAATTCATATATTCTTTCATATAATTCATGTATAATATAATATTTATATTATTTAATATAACATTTTTAAATAATAAAGTGTCTAATTTGTATAAATATCCATTTTAGTTGGTGCAATTTAATAATATCGTTACTTTTGGAGAGAAGATACTTTTGTAGAGAAGATAAATTCTAATAAAATATATCCAAATAATTAAATTATATAATTCTTGATTGGATGGCGCTTATACTTGGCGTCTTTTTTTTTAATTACACGAAAAATCATTTTCTCAATATATCACTAAGCGTGTATGTGTATGTGTCTGTTAATTCTGTTTAGGTAATACCAAATGACAAATGTCAGAAGTGGTTCAGAGCAGCCGGGAGGAGGGAAACCATTCACGACGTATTTCTCTGCGCAGGGTATAGACAAGGCGGACGAGATTCTTGTCAGGTGATCAAACTAGAATTCTCATTCCAAGAGATATTCGCTTAATTCGGCGATTAGCTAAACACGCGTGAAATTAGAAGACTTTCGTTCACAAGTTATCTCGGAACAGGGTGATTCGGGTGGACCGCTGACAATGTCCGTGGAAGGCAGACACGTTCTGATCGGTTTGGTCTCTTGGGGTATCGGTTGCGGTCGCGAACACCTACCCGGCGTATACACCAATATCCAGAAGTTCGTGCCCTGGATCGATAAAGTTATGAGCTAAAGTGGAGGAAACTCAGTCGCTCCGAAGGATGAGTCGCTTTACCCGAGGAAAGGAAGTAGGAGGAAGAGGATAAGAAAGTTACCAAAGTCTTATCTCGTTTTTTAAGGACTTTTCTAATCGTGCTTGATTACGAAGAATAAGGCACTCTTTCGAAAGTGCCAAAAAGCATGATGCTTTTCAAAGCGTTTGTCGTGCTGAAGATCGTTAAGTATATTCGAAACTGGCAATAAAAAGTTCATCCATGGTTACAGTCGACGTATCCCAGATGATTAATTAGCCAGGCTAGGATGAAGTTCTTAAAATGCTAATTAGATAATAAATGAAGATCGTTTGAGCTGCTTGTAAGCTTCGTTGTTGTTATTTAGATTATATTATAAATAATTTATTGTCACGTATATTAAAATGAAAAAATGATTTCTAAATTTCAATACGTTTGTCTTGATATTAACACCACAAATACAATTGACACAGTGTTTTATAATTAATCTATATATTATACGCGAAGTTTTAGAAGAATTAAAAAAATAATAAGTATTTCAAATATATTTAAAAAATTATCCTGATTTGTGATATAGTATAGAATTTATAAAATGTACCTTAAAATTTTATTCGTATCAAAAAAATATATATTTACCCGCGTGCGCGAACAAAAATACACGAAAATGTTTAAAAACAGGAAGAAAAATATATGAGAAATCTCAATTGCAATAATATATACCTTCGTTTATAATAGTCTCCTATCAATATCTTGACGAGTTCAAACAACTATTACTTTATTGTGACAAACGTAATTCTTACATTTGCTACCACACACTGTTAATTTATGATGACGTTTACTTGAAAAATCTGTAGAAATCTAATTTTACAACAAATATACTGTATATAAAATAGTTTTCTTCAATTTCGTGTGGATACGCGTATGTACTCCACGTCGATATATTACCTCCTGTTATCGACCATCTACAAAACTGGATACCACCTATCCATGCACTCATAAGTATCCTACGCAGGATAACTCGAAAGCTTCAGCGTGCGCTCCCGATAATGTAAGAGTATACTACGCTAGGATACTACAGAGAAATACATATAATGATAAAAAGTTTCAAAATGCCATTCATAATTTTATAATTCAAGAGAATTATTTGCAACATTTAATTTCTCACCAATTATTGTTACAGCGTATCTAAACTATTAAAGTACGCTTCTTTCAAATGTTATTTACTTATGATTTCAGAAATCATATTAAGATACAAACATTGAGCTATTAGTTAAAAAATAAAAAGAACGAGGTAAAGGGAAACTGGCATTCTCCTAAGATGAGGTCAATCGTGGGAAGAAAAAGAAGGCGGTATATCTTAACCCTTTAGGGCCCAAACTGTACATATCCGCTCCTGTCCTCGGCAGAAGCAGAAAGAGAACGGGATTGGTCACAGAGAATGCGCGAGAAGTGCACCTACCCCGATACAGGAAAAGAGGGTGGGGGAGAGACGGAAGGAGGGAGAGAGCGAGAGCAATGGTGGAGGGTAAGTTGCTAATTAGAGCCAGATTAAACGCTTGTCTGGGGAGCCATTTTCCTTGCCGTTCCTCGCCGTGGCCGAAGGAGGATGAGCGGCGTTTCGAGACAGCGAGGGGGGGGGGGGGGAAGGGGACCAGGAAAAATGGGGGGACTTGCGGGGGTGGCTGAGGCTGCGAGAAACGAGGAAGGGGTGGCGGCGAAGGGACGACGGAACGCCGACGCCAACGTTGGCGGGAGAGGCGGGCTTAATGAAAAGTGTTTGCCCCGTAAAA